ATTTTATTTTTTTTTTTTTTTTTTTTTTTTTTTTTTTTTTTGACAAAACCAGAACATTTATTGCATCCAACAATCACTATCAACATGCCATACTGTTGCAACAGTTGTGTTTTTGCCACAGGTGCCCGATGGGACCCCCAGTCAGGAACCATTGTTGAAGCTCGCCTCAAGGAGTTGAAGTCCATGATGCCTGTCATCTTTGCCAAAGCCATACGCGTGGACAGACAAGAAACCAAACACACTTACGCGTGCCCTGTGTACAAAACCAAAACCAGAGGTCCCACCTACGTCTGGACTTTCAGATTAAAAAGCAAAGAGAAGACGGCTAAATGGGTGTTGGCAAGTGTGGCTCTGTTGCTAGAAGCGTAAGACGGTCCTTGCACTGGGACTTAACGTTCCTGGAACACAGTGAGAACTTTTCATTTTATCTCTGTTCTTATTATGCATGTATACTTTTTTTTCTACTGAAAGGCATAAAATGCATTCCAACTTATGTAACTTTTAGTAACTTACACATGCATTCATTTTTAAAATACTATCCTTAAAAAAGAAGCAAATGTACAAAAAATAACAGACACCTGTTCAGTCTCTATGTTCACTGATTTTAGCTTTCCTCAGTACCTCCTGAAGCCCCCTTCCTCAACTTGCACAAAACAGTTTGTCACATTTTCACCAAGGTTCCATCAAACAGACGTGCAGCTGAAGGAAGGGGGATTCAGTTATTATTAAACATGAAAATCTTTTAAAAATTAGCCCTTAAGTTCTTTGAAAAGCAGCAGGCCCTGTGAGACCTCTAGTGTCTGTAACCTGACAGTCCACAAAACCCTAGGTTCACTTGTGTTCCATGATTAATTGCACTTTGTAATTTTAGGGAACAATCTTCAGTACAAACTTCCAGCAATCTAGAGGAGGATAAATTATTACCGTTTGAGCTATGGTCACTCAAGGTAAGGCAAACTACAAGAAAAACAAGTCCTGTAAAAATAGCCTAGAGTGACCAGGAAGTTAAAGGCTGCTTCTATGTGTCTTTTCTGTAACTTACCTAAATTTTTAACTCTGCCCCATTTGAATTGTGCTTTTGAATCATCAGCAGATACCACACAGGGCTTGTGTGTGTATATATATATACACACACAATAGATTCCTCTGCTATGTTCCTGAGAAATCTTAAGCATATAAACATTTAAAAAAAAAATAGTATTCATCAACTCTATAAGAAATTTTGTATAAAAACAACTGTAAGAAATCTTAGGCACAAATGGTATGCACTTCTTGTTGGGGGTACCCCATGCTGACTTCGCAGGTTCCTCTCAATTGTCTTCCACCAGCTGCTTTTGTAAGCTCTCCAGATATTCCTTAACATTATCATAACCATAAAACTTGGCCAGATGAATGAGGATCCCCGTGGCACAGCGGCCATCACGCTTTCGACAATAACTGCAATTGCAGATTCCACGGCAGGGAGGACACATCCAATCCGGGTCTAGCAATGCCGATCTCACGTCCTCCCCATAGCGATTCCGCAGGCATGGACCACAGAACTGTCCCCGTACCCCACCACAGCTCTGGTTCCGACACACTGTCTTGGTGTCAATGGTCTTCTGCCGACACTGATGGCACGTGTTACCCAAAACTTTATCATAGATTTTATCTCGCACAGTTATGGCAACATTGTCCAAGTCCTGTTCAGTAATATCCTCCACTGGTCGAAAAGAAGATATACGGCGACGTCGTCTATGCCCCTGGGATTTCCCCCCACTAGTTGTCTTCCTTCTTCTGATTGTATAAAACTCTTCAGCAAATTTGGTGGCAGAGATGGTAAAGTTTTCTAGAGCAAACTTCTCTGGGGGCCGCGCACTTCGGGTTGGGTTTGTGCGCCGGATGATCTGTCCCTCTGAGAAGGCCCGACGCACTGTTTTCTTCTTCGAAGCTGAGGCTGGCGTTCGTACTGGGAATAAACCTGGCATTGAGTTCAATTCTGCCAATAACTGAGCGAGCATTACTTCTGGGTTACTGTTTACGTTTAGATCATTCTGCGTAAATCCTTCGAAGTCTTCATTCTCTGAGTCAGTGTCCTCTATAAAAATTCTCCTTAGCTCTTCTGTGAAGTATTTGGAATGGAAACGAACATCCTGCTGCTTCCCAGGCTCCAGAGAGTCAAAACTATCACAGCTCTCCTCCGATGACAGAGTTTCCATGGGAACATCATCTCGGAAACCAACGAACTCTTCATCATCACTGGGGGCGTTAAAGATGTCAGCCACTTCTTTAGGGATCTGGGAGCGAGTCGCCAATTCCATCTTCCTTAAGTGGCTCCAGCCTCCTCGTAGCACGCGGCCACTAGAGCCTGGTAGTCATGGGCGCAGCGCACCAAGACCGCCCCCAGGCCGCCAACATGTGAATTTTATTTTGTTTCTAGCAAATGTTAATTAGCATATTAAAAAGAATTTTATAAAGTGAATAACTACATTTGATTACAATAAATGTTGGATTAATAAACTATCTTCCTAATCAATAAAATAAATTTCAATACTCAAATTAAATTTCTATACATGATGAGTTAAAAATCTCCAAACTGTTTAAGGGTGATAACAGTTTCAATTTAAAACATTTGTATCAAATCTTTTCGGCACCAGGGATTGAACCCAGGGGCACTTAACCACTGAGCCACATCCCCAGTCCTTTTGAGTCAGGGTCTCCCTGAGTTGCTTAGGGCCTTACTAAGTTGCTGAGGCTCACTTTGAACTCGCAATGCTCCTGCATGAGCCTCCAGAGCTGCCAGTATTACAGGTGTGGTGCACTGGCCTGTGTCAATTCTTTACTTACATATTTTAAACTATAATCACACATTAACATTGTAATCTAATATGCCAAATAGGAATCTGTATTTTATGAAGCTTTCCAGGATTTTTGTTTTTAATACAGAATAAAGTTCAACAACAACTAAAAAATGATCACTGATATTTCTCTACTGCCTTTTCTCTTTGCACACTTTGATGAATCAGGCAGCCATACTGGAGGGACACAGGACCCAAGGAACTGAAGGTAGTCTTCAGGGGACACTTAGCAATTCAGGAACTGATGTCCTTGATTCAATGGCTTTCAAGGAACTGAATTCTGACAAAGACTACATGAATTGGAAAGTGACCTAGGCCTAGCCAACACTGTGGCCTTGTCAGAGACCTTGAGCAGGACTCCTGACTCAGGGAAAATGTGAGATAATAAATGCATCTTCTTTTCGGTCACAGAGTTTGTGTTCCATTGTTGGTAGCAATGGGTAACTTTTTTTTTTTTTTTTGGTACTGGGGACTGAACTCAAGGACATTCAACCACTGAGCCACATCCCCAGCCCTGTTTTGTATTTTATTTAGAGACAGGATCTCACTGAGTTGCTTAGCACCTTGCCGTTGCTGAGGCTGGTGCTGAACTCACAATCCTCCTGCCTCAGCCTCCCAAGCTGTTGAGATTACAGGCATGCGCCACGGCACCTGGCTAATAGGTTACTTTAATATTCTAGGTTTTTATATATTAATAGATAAGTGGTTTCCAAACTTGTTCAGTCATGATCTCTATCAACGTTAACATACATATAATAAGTGTTTTTGGTTAAGGATACGTTCCTATTATTATCTTTATATTAAATATTAGAATATTGATTGTGTATTAAATTATTTTCATAACTGTATTTTGGGGATATAATGAATATGCTGTATAGTTGGTCCATTTAAAGTGTACAGTTTCATGAGTTTTAATATGTTCAGTTATGCCAAATAGGAATCTGTATTTTATGAAGATTTTATTGTAATCAAATTTTAGGGAATATTTAGCAGCACAAAAATAGACCCTATATCTTTTAGCTATCCCCCCCCCATTCTTCTTCCCCCTGCCTGAGGCAAAAACTAATCTACTTTCTGTCTCCCAAGAATTTTCTATTCTAAACATTTAATATAAATGAAATCTATGTGTCGTCTTTTGGGACGGGTTTTCTTCACCTGACATAAATTTTCAAGGTTCACTCATATATTAGTACTTTGCTCCATTTTATAACCAAATAATATTTAACTTTAAAATAGTTCCTTGTAACACAAGATTTCATTGTAAAGCTTTTCTCCTCCCTTTTTTAGCTTAAAAAAAAGATAGAAATAAAGATTCTAACACTTTCTTTACGTTTGCAAGTGTTCTCCCATTTCAGGAACCCCCTAAGGTATACACAATTTTGGAGGAAACGAAGGGCACTTTTACCACTGAACTACATCCCCAGCCCTTTTAATTTTTTATTATGAGACAGGGTCTCACTAAGTTGATGAGGCTGATCTGAACTTGCAATCCTCCTGCCTCAGCCTTCTGAGTTGCTGGAATTAAAGTCATGTCTACCACACCCAGCTACACATCTTATTTTAAATGGCGTAGTAAGTTATTATGTGGAGGAATATTTGTCTAAATAGTAATTAATAAAGTGGTTATTTTATGCCATGGACAAAGGAAAACACATACACACACACACAAAAAAAAATGGACTAAGAGAAGAACTTTTGGGGCTGAGGATATATAGCTCAGCTGGTAGAGTGCTTGCCAAGACCCTGGGTTCAATCCCCAGTACCATACACACACACAAAAAAAAAAAAAAAAAAAAAAGGAAAAAGAGAGAAGAACCTTTATTTTAAACCCATCTTATTAAATTTTGCCCAAGAGTAGCTCATATTATAACAAGGCTCTAATATAGTAATTTGCCTGTATATCCAGGGTTGGCCAATCAGTACTACTGAGTGCCCAGTAGTCCACAAGGCACTGAGAGTCCAAAACTACAATTGTGCAAACCATAGAAATCCACACAGGGAAACAGCCTTCCTGCCTGGTGAGCAGCCATGTACCCACTGATGGATCTCATATAGCCCAGACTCTCCCTGTCCGAGCACACTCAGGACTTTCAAAGCTCTTGATCTACCATAGATCATAATTTTTTTTCCTATAAATATTTTTGCATTGGCAAAATTTTGTCACACCACCCCAGTGCCCTCTCAGGTGCTGAAGTATTGATTGTCCCCAGATTTGGAGAGTTGTTGTTTGACATCCCTCAGCTGGCAAACGCTTGGAGATCTGCCTTCAAAAGATAGCCACCTTCTCCCTACCCTAGTTGTGCTCCCTACCACAGGCAGATTGAATCCAGTGATTGGCTAATGGTGGGAGGAAACAGCCTGGCTCCCCCACCCCAATTCAGGACAACCAAAGAGCCCCCCCCCCATCTCCTGAACCCCAGCAGGATCAGCTAGATGTTGTCATTAGCATTTCACTACAGTTCATCTTCTTCCTTTGCTCCACCCTGAGTCTGCTTTCCAAAAATACCCAACCTGCTCCAAATATGGAATTTTCATAAAACATTACATTAATTCGGGTTTGAGCACTTGACTTATGAAGAAAGAAGTACTACAAGAAACCAGGTGATTCAGCCAGTAAGTTCTACTAGTGGAAAATTACTGTCACATGAAGACATTCTAGTGTTTTTCAATGTCACTTTTTTGTTGTGGTTTTGATACCAGGGGCATTTAACCACTCAGCCACATCTCCAGCCCTTTTTATTTTGAGACAAGGTCTTGCTGAGTCACTTAGGGCCTCACTAGATTATTGAAGCTGGCTTTGAACTTGTAGTCCTCCTGCCTTCGCCTCCCCAAGTCACTAGAATTACTGGTGAGCCCCACCATGCCTGGCTCAATGTCACTTTCGATATTACGATTTCCATATGTTTATCCCAAATGACACTTGATTCTTTGCAAAGACTTATGAGTTCAAGGCCCAAGAGGCCACAGAAGATTCTAAACTGGATTTATCTGAGTAGAGGATCTTTCAAGGTCATGGTGTTCAGGTTTTTCAGAACTCTGCCTTTATGATCTTATAACTTGATGATCAAAGTAGAAGCCAGGATGATGCTCAGATAGAAAAGAAATATAAACCACCCACTTAGTTCAACTGAAATTAAATTTGAGTTGAATGGTGTTCAATTCAAACCATGTTTTTCTGGTTCTCTGTTTAAGAAAACATCTTGTCACTGTTGTTATTGTTCTCATTGGGGGGCGGCTAGAAGTGCCTAGAGGAGGTACCACTGAGGAAGTCTGGGCCAGGTCAGAAAGGATTCTCCAACACATGCAGCATAGCACAGGTAGGTTAGAGAAACAGCTGCTATCAGCAAGGGCAAAGAATAGAGCTAAAATAGTTTCAGGCATCTGTCCAAGGGCGAGCCAAGCAAAGAGAAGAAAGAGCCAGGCTGACTTCTGTTCAACATAGTTCTCGAAACACTGGCCAGAGCAATTAGACAGACGAAAGAAATTAAAGGCATAAAAATAGGAAAAGAAGAACTTAAATTATCACTATTTGCAGGTGACATGATTCTATACCTAGAAGACCCAAAAGGCTCTACAAAGAAACTATTAGAGCTAATAAATGAATTCAGCAAAGTGGCAGGATATAAAATCAACACGCATAAATCAAAGGCATTCCTGTATATCAGCGACAAATCCTCTGAAATGGAAATGAGGACAACCACTCCATTCACAATATCCTCAAAAAAAATAAAATACTTGGGAATCAACCTAACAAAAGAGGTGAAAGACTTATACAATGAAAACTACAGAACCCTAAAGAGAGAAATAGAAGAAGATCTTAGAAGATGGAAAAATATACCCTGTTCATGGATAGGCAGAACTAACATCATCAAAATGGCGATATTACCAAAAGTTCTCTATGGGTTTAATGCAATGCCAATCAAAATCCCAACGGCATTTCTTGTAGAAATAGAGAAAGCAATCATGAAATTCATATGGAAAAATAAAAGACCCAGAATAGCAAAAACAATGCTAAGCAGGAAGTGTGAATCAGGCGGTATAGCGATACCAGACTTCAAACTATACTACAGAGCAATAGTAACAAAAACAGCATGGTACTGGTACCAAAACAGGCGGGTGGACCAATGGTACAGAATTGAGGACACAGAAACCAATCCACAAAACTACAACTATCTTATATTTGATAAAGGGGCTAAAAGCATGCAATGGAGGAAGGATAGCATCTTCAACAAATGGTGCTGGGAAAACTGGAAATCCATATGCAACAAAATGAAACTGAATCCCTTTCTCTCGCCATGCACAAAAGTTAACTCAAAATGGATCAAGGAGCTTGATATCAAATCAGAGACACGGCGTCTGATAGAAGAAAAAGTTGGCTATGATCTACATACTGTGGGGTCGGGCTCCAAATTCCTCAATAGGACACCCATAGCACAAGAGTTAATAACTAGAATCAACAAATGGGACTTACTCAAACTAAAAAGTTTTTTCTCAGCAAAAGAAACAATAAGAGAGGTAAATAGGGAGCCTACATCCTGGGAACAAATT